TTCCTATAAAGACTGTAAATGTATATAATTTATTTATAATGTGGTTTATAAATGCATATAAAAGCATGAGAGATGAAATCAAATTATGTGGCACCACATTTGTCAAAGACCATGGCATAGAATAGAGCCCCTGCAACACCAATTTCTGCAAATGCCACTCCAGGAAAGAAAAGTTATTGCAACACTATGCTTTCATGATCCCATCTATTTTGCAGTCATGCATTGTTAGGAATGTATGTGCTGGGTTAATTGACTTGTCTGTGTCTTGCAGATTGTCAGGTGCCTTTTGTTTGTAAGTATTTGCATGAATGTTGTGAATGTGCAAATGTTGTATAAATTTGCATTGTCAAAAATGTGAATATCCTCCAAAGTATATAAATCCCCAGAAATTCATATTTTCCACTCTTTAGCCTATGGTGAAAATATACACTTTTTCACACTTTTGTGCATTCTGTTTTGTTTTACAGTTTTCCAACTGCATTTGAATAAAAGTGCAATTTTTTAAAAAAAAATAGTCCACAAGTATATGGAATCCATATGCTTTAGAAAAAACCTAGTCCACTGTGGGTCAGATTCACAAAAATCTCAGTAAGTTGTGGATTTCTCTGATGTCATCTACAATAATGCCTGCACTGTTTCAGGCCCATAACTACGACTGATATCTTATAGGAATGGATCCAGATTGTTATTTTCCTTGATGAGGATTGCATTTGTCCAACATTGGAGGAGTGAAGAATCACCTACTGATGAACTGATTCTAAAAAAGATCTTGGACTGTGCCGAAATGGACAGATTGACTTTGTATCTGAAGGAGAAAGAGGATACAGACTTCTATCAAACTTGGAACTCCTTTTATTATTGGCTAGAGAAACAGGACTATGCATAGACTTAAATATGTTTATGAATTAGTATAAAAAGAAAAAGTATGGGGGGCTGATCCAGTCAGTCTGACACTTTTGATGATTGATGTTTTTTAGGTTTTTTTGTTAGTTAGTAGAAAACTTATTTTTAAAAAAACCAAATTGTTATTTTACTTTAAGACTACTTAGATTTGAGAGGATGCATCTTCCAATATCTGGTTATTCTGCACATGCCATTGTGTAGTCATGGTTCTTCATGGCTTCTTTAGATAATCCTCCAGTTTCACTTCTGTTTTTTAACAGCATCTTCAGCATTTTTAATGAAACCAAAAGCAAAAGCAATTTCCACTCCTATTTGTGCACTGTTTTGCTATACCACAGTGCCACCTAGGGGTTATGTATGAGAAAAATATGCAAGAAAATGTTCATGTAATGCTGAAATGAAAGTAGATTAACAGTCACATAGAATCATAGAAACAGAGTGAGGCAGAAGGGGTCTACCAGGTCATCTAGTCTGACCCCTGGCTCCCATCAGTTCTGCTCATGACATGCCTACCATGTGCATGTCCAGTCTTTCCTTGAACACCCTCACTGATGTGGCTTCAACCACCCATCTGCGGAAGCCCATTCCATACCCTTGGGAACCTAACTGTCAGGAAGTACTTCCTGGCAATGAAATTGAACCTTAGTTCCCTGAGCTTTGCTCCACTGGAACACATTCTACTATTCACTGCAGGGGAAAAAAGTCATGACCCACCTCTGAGTGACACCCCCTCACATATGTGTATGTCACCAACAGATCCCCACTGAGTCTCTTTTTCTCCAGTCTGAAAAGACCCAGTTTCCTCAGTCTCACCTCATACGACTTTCTCTGCAATCCAGTCACCATCCTTGTGGCCCTACATTGCACCAATTTTATGGTGTTACATGACGACATGCTCTAAGAATTTAGGTTCTTTTTTTACCTCTTTAAAACTTCTATGCCACACAATGCTTTCATCTTGAATAGTTAACTCTTTGCCTGGAGGACCTTGAGGATCCAGTCTTCCAACTAGGACTCTAACAAAAGATTGATTTGGGAAAGTTTTCCAATTTGTAATATCAAAGCCTGTGTCCAGTTCTCCATTTACATCAAAATGCACAGTTTCTCCTGCAGTGTTATTGAATGAAATACCCTTTAAAAAGGGGTGGAGCTATATCCAAACACATAGAACAAAAACAATACAAAGAATGTATTAGACTCTCACAATGAGTGATAAGCATTGGTCACCGAAAAATTTATACTGTTTAGATCTAGTTAGAAGCAGCTACTTTTAGGGACTACCTGGGTGTTGGCAACAGGAGATTTCAAGGACTGGATTGGTTTTTTGTGGGACATGCACCTCCAAAGTATAAATTAAGACATGCATGGGGCAGCAGAATTTGGTCACCCAGTGAACTTAATGCCTGAGAGGAGATTATAGAAACATAGAAACAGAGCGAGTCAGAAGGGGCCTCTTGGGCCATCTATTCTGACCCTCAGCTCCAACCGGCTCCACTCACGACATGCCCACCATGTACATGTCCAGCCTATTAAAACCCAGGTCTTTCATATAACAGCACAAAATTGGACCCGCCATCCTGCACTGCTTCTTACTGCTTCTCACTATAGTGAACTTTTGTCAGGTGCTTTCTAGAAGTTCACTATGTACAATATCAACTGGATCATTCTATATAAATGATCCTCCCCTAATTGGAATGCTCTGGTATTCTAACTTATTCATGAAAACAGAGCTGTGTCTGTCTTTTGGATAACATTACCTGCCATGGCTGCAGGTTCCAGAACTCCAGAATTCTACCAGTTACCCTTGCTTTGTGCTTTGATCTGAATTCATACATCATAGAGAGAGCGTTTGCAATGGCATGGGCAGAATTGTACACATTGTAGCTGTGACCAGTCATGCTCATTTCAAAGAATGTCCCTGGAAGACTCTCTAGTTCCTCTTCCCCAGTGCAACTTTCTTCAGGTTCCTCACTTTCAGCCACACTGGCGTTCTTCAATGAACAACTGAAGGCCTTCTCCCAGAAGTCCTGGATAAAACCATCTTGTCTTTCCCAGAAAGGATGTACATTCTGGAGAAATGTCCTAAATCCTGGTGGCTCATTTGAATGAACTGTGAAAGATAGAGCACCATGGAAGGATTGGATAACCCATCCCTTTTGATAGGGACTTAATTTGAAATCCCACTGTTCTGTCACTATCCACACCTTACCTAGGTGTAAATCCAGGACAGCCATATGAAGATACCAGGCCAAATTTAACATGGAAGGAGGTGCACCATGGACAATAAAGATATTGGCTTGGCTTTTCATGAGAACAGGAAATCTGTCCAAATTACTTAAAAACATGTCTAGCATTCCTGCAACATAAGTCCATTTGGGTGTTCTTTCCACAAAGGCAGAACAGATGTGATGAGCAAAAAGCATGGGCACCAAGGCTTGGAAAAACCTTTCACCATTGTCATCATCCACAGCAAAGAGGCCAACCCACGTCCACCTAAAATGCCGAAGTAGCTGGATAATCCCAGTGTATTGATGGACTTCATTTGGAACCATCTGGTACAAGGAAGGGAACAGCATTTTTTCCCTCTGCCCTGAGACAAGGGATCCATATGCAATCTAAAGTACAAAAATAAAAACTGAAGAATTTTGTTTTTTAAAATTAAAATTGTTCATGTATGTAGCTATTGTCACTTGCTAAAAGGCATTGCCCAGAAATATTGTACAGTGAACTGATATTTTCATCATATATCCTTAAAAAGAAATTAATGTAATCTAAGTCATTTCTAAAACAATGTTTCACTTTGAACCTCAGGTAATGGAGGCATAAAACCATAACTTTGGGGAAGAAAGGGGCCACAGAGGTTACTAAGTCCATTTCCCTGCTCAGCAAAATATCTATAATGAAGAATATAATGACAACTTCCCTGAGACTTAGTTATTCAGCACCAACCTCTAATAAAGGGAGGTCCACCAACTCCTGAGACTGTCTGTTCCACTGTTGATAATATTCACCTGGTTGAGTCTGGGTTTAGCGATCCTTAGTATAGACACATTAAAATCAATTTATAGCCTTGACTTAAGTTCTGATTTACTCATCCCATTCATTTCAATGGGTCTAGCAAAGGATGACTAAAACTGGATCTTACCCAATGTAGGAAGTTTGTCCTGATGGTTAGCTAAATTCTGCTTCCTTGCAATTTCCAGTTGTTTGTTCTTGTCCTGCCCTCTGGCATACAGAGAGTATGCTCCATCTTTTCCAAGTGTGCTCCATCTTCTCCATGACAGCCCTTCAGTTCACATTTCTCTCCCTCTTATAATAATAGTAAGAGGGAGAGAAGTTGTGCAAGTTCCCTGCACAAACATGTGAAGCTGCCGTGTGACAGAACAGGGGAGAAAGCCTTTTCTATGGACATCAGTATTTCTATGTGCAGGGAAATAGTAACTGAGGAAACTTTTATCATATAACATCTCCTCCTGTTGTACCATTTAGCATTCTTAAATGGTATGATTTACATACAGGTTTATCACTTCATCAGCATTGTTTATGAGAACCATTTCCTCTGCTCCTTTGCTGCAGTCTACAATTTTACTTTTCAGCTTGGCTTACTTTTTAGTAGTATAAATGGGAGTGTAGTAAACATGCAGCACTGGGACTTTTCCATCTCCCCACCCCACCCCCAATATTCTCTGTTCCTTCTGAATTTAACTGCAATTCTCACAGTATCTGGGGGGAAAGTGAATTCAGGACAGGTTGAACATCCCTCAACCAGCAGATAAACCACTCACTAACAGTACCTCAACCTTGTCTGGATTAAGTCTCAGTTTATTAGCCTTTGTCCTGATTCTGAACAAGCATTTACTCAACTGCATTTTATGGAAAGGAGAGATTTGTGTCATCTACAGATAGATCAGTACAACCTGCATTTTTAGTCTCTCATTTTTGTCCTTTGTGGGACTGTCATGAGGACTCTCTGCCCTACCGAATTTAGTACTGCTCCACAGAGTAAAGAACTATTCCATTGAACAGATAACGATAGAATACATCATCATGTGCTGCAGCTTTACTTGTCTCCCTCCACCAGATTTACCTGTGGAATCTTGTAAGCATTTAATACTGTGGCCATGTAGCAGGAGGTCTCAGCATCAAGCCCCCCAATGACAGTTATCAAATGGTCCTGGATGTCACACTTGTAGTTGGGCACAAATTTGTCCTGGGTAGAAAGCAGGTGCAGAGTAGCTTCATATGTCACCTGGGTACTGTAGTAGTTGTCAAACACATGCAACCCCACAGTGATATTTGGTAAGATGGCAGGATTTTCATTGATCTCCTTTACAGCAAATACAAGAGCCAGGATGTGCTGGTAGTTCTTTGGCATCACACTGTAAAGTTACACAGAATGGACCAAAACAATTAGGAAATAGCATACTGAAGCACCTTATGGAAGCAAAGTAAGAAAGAATGAGGAGAGGAGAGGAGAGGAGCTCTTATATATGAATGCATTTAGTATGGTAGCATGAGCTTTGGAAGGAAGATCTAAAGTTCTAGTTAGATGGCCCTCCTCAATCCCACCATGTCCATGTGAGGACTCCTCATAAGTTCCCTTTCATAGGTTTCCACAGTAAGTGCTTACTGGCTTTAACACATCTCTCTTAATCCAGGAACATGTTCTGCTTTTGTAGGCTACCCACACAGTTTACAACCATGGTTATACAAATTTCTAAGGGTTAGTTTCTGGAGGCAGTCTTTCTCCTTCAGAAGTTCGCCTCACAATGAATGGAGAATGGTGTGACTGATTTAATGGAGCAACATGAAAGGAATAAGGCCTGCAAATGTGCTCCCACACTTTCCCCTCATGCACTGGGAAACCCATTAGGTAGACTATCTAAACAGGACATATGAAAAATAAGCAGTGCAGAAGACATTCAAGTTTCTTGTGAGTTGATTTATCTGATGTCTTTTTTTTTTTTTACTGACAATAGACTTTGTCCCTGACGTAACACTGGATGCACTTGTGAAAGATGTGGAACAGCAGGACGGCACAGAGAAACCATAGAAGTAGCTGCTGTTTCTTATCAAGGTTTCTAAAGACCAAACATGGTAAAATGTCATGACTGTGTTCAGACAACATGACAGTCTTACAGTGATAAAACAGTGGGTCTTCCCATAAAGTTGATTGGTGGGAGATTCCGGACAGATGAAAGGAAGCAACTCTTCACACACTGCATAGTTAAACCATGGAATGCATTTCCCAAAGTGTAGTGATGGCCACCAGCTTGGATGGCTCTTAAAGGGGATTGGAACAATTCATGGAGGAGAAGACTATCAATGACTGTTAGTTCAGAAGGGCATCCACTACCTCTGGGATCAGAGGCATAGTGCCTATGCCCACTAGTAGCTGGAGAACACAGATAAGAGACTGCTGTTGCCCTTGTGTTCTGTTTTTGGGTTCCCAAGGGCTGGGTCAAGAGAACGCTGGTCTAGGCAGATGCTTGGTCTGATCTAGCAGGGCTCTTCTCATGTTCTAATGTTCTTATCATAGCTACTAAAAACCACATGGGGCACAAGCACACTGACATTAGATGCCAAAGCACAGAAGTATCAGGCAAAGGGAGAAGGGATCAGACAAAGTAATCTGCAGTGCCTGAAAATCACAGACAGAAGAGCACAATATAGAATGTGTAAAAGATGAATGTGCCAATAAACTAGCCAAGTGAAAGTCAAATATTTAGGTTAATGAAAGGAGAAAAAGAGTGAAGAAAGGAGAGGGACGGTGGGTACTAGGGAGGGACAGAAGCAGAGAGGTTGAATGAAAATTTGGGATGGGCAAGCAAGTCAGGTTCAAGATCGCTAGGACTCTCTAAACATCTTCTCACAGCCCTCCTTATGCTGGTTCTCACTCATATTGTTATCTCTGCTCACTTTGCACAAAGAGGAAAATGAGCAATAACACCATTATATAATGCTGTATATGTAAAATTACTGGAAAGTATGTGTCCCAGCTATGTGATGCCCATGTCATGGCCTCTCTTGAGGACTTCTTTAGAGGATTTTCTGGAGCTCCCTGAGCTAAATATCAGAGGAGCCACCCAGGTTAAGAGAACTTGAGGCAGATCAAGGGTATACTGAATCCTTGGAAGAGATAACCATGAAGTTGTAGTTAGCCTTCTCTAGGTTCCAAGGCAGATAAGTCTTGCCAGTGATCCTAAGGAGCAATGGCACCTAAAACTTCAGGTTTGGCCAGATGCAGAAGCATGCACCTGAAGAAGAAAGACTTTTCATTGGTCAAGTCTCTGCTTCTGAGCAGATCATTCCTAAGGTGCCCCTGATGACCTGCCACTTTGTTCTAGGCAACGGGTGCTGGAATCATCTCTGTGTACCATCTTCCTGCCTTGCATTTCCTTGCATTTCCCTGCTTCTCTAGAAATCTCTGCATTTGGACTTTGTAAAGAAAACTGACCTTGGTTTTGGTGCTGACTTCACTAATTCCTAAAAGGTCTGTGTTTGCATCATCAGAAGCAGGACAGTTATAGTGAAATAGTGAACAAATCCTGAATGATTTCATGGAGTGAGCAAACACTGGAATGATTTCATTTTTTTTCAAGTTTTCATTCAGAAGGCAGAACAAAGAAAATAACTGGAAAGATTGCATCCAGGGCACAATCCTTCCAGCTTTCTGTTCCTTGATTACTTACTTACTTATTCCTGGCAATTATGGCCTAAGCAAATAGATGCAATCAGGGTAGGCTGCAGGGAAATTCTTACATGGCTTCTTTCATGCTAAACTGAGAGGGCTGTTCTCTGAAATCCACAGAGAGGTGAAGGAAAAAGACTTGAGAAGCAATTTCTCCAATGGTAAGGTTTCCCACTTGATAGAATTCATGAGAAATTCGGACAGGATCATTTTTCCTGCAGATAATCGAGCAGGTCTTGATGTTGTGACAAGTAGGATGGGTCTTGCACATAATGTGATGGAACCACAGGAAAGACACCATTGTTTTGAGGATGAAGCTACCTTTCCAGATGTGCATTCTTCTGCTTTGTTCAGTGCTGTTCACTGTCTTTGAATGCCACTCATGCTTGCCCTGTATGACTATGCCAGCTTCATCCTCCATCTTTCTTTTTACACTTTTACTTTTTCATGCATCTCAAGTTCACTTTGCAGCTATTCAGAACTTTGCTGAATTACCACATGCTGGGTGGAATAGTTACTTTTGATGGAAGATTCATCAGCAGGGTATTCTTTGGAAAAACTGATGATGTGCTTGTTTAATAATATGAGTTACTTTTCCTTTGAATCCAAAGACAGTAAATCCAATGAGGCAAACACACACTCAGTGATGATAGAGAGTTATTTGTCTCTGACTTCATGGAGCAATTTCTAGTGTTATGTCCATTTTTAGCTTTTCCTATTTATTTTTCTTGTAGCCTCCAAATATGCCTTTGGGGTTTTATGTGTAGAAAAATTACTCAGGAGACATGCTGACAATTACAGGAGAGGAAAATAACTGTCAGGTATTGAGACTGCAAACATAGCAGAGTGCCTGGAGAAAGTTGTTGCTTTCACCAGAGATCTCACTGGGACTCTGAGACCACAGTCCTACAGCCCTCCACCCAATTGGTTGGGAAGCCAGAAGAAGTCCTAACTATAAGATTTTGGAGCTCAGATTCCAAAAGTGTAGTTCTCAGTCTGTCTCCTTGAAGCTGGCAGTGAAAAAACTGGACTAGGAGACTCCCCCCACCCAATTGCAACTGGACCTTGAAGGGACTCCAAAGAAGCATGCTGGGGCTACAGGGAGAGGGGGAGACCATGGTTATGGCATTATGCAGATTACAAATGGCACCTCACTCTCCATTCCTCCCTCTCCCTGGTGTTAAATCTGGGTGGCAAAGAACAACCACCTAAAGGAAAAGCAGGGCACAGAGTGTGGCAGAAACAGAGATTAGTCATGAGCTGGGGTTCCTCCCTTTCATGTTCAAAGCCACACTTTCCTTACAAAATGTTTTTACTGATGAAATAATTCTCCAGAAGTACAAACACCCAGAATGGATCTCTGCGCATGCACAAGGTGGTCTGTTGAACTCAATCAAGCATTCATCTCCAAGAACTTTCCTTATAAGCATGCCTGGACCTTATTGCTTTGGAAAGGGCCTTCTGGAAATGAGCATACCTCTACTCAGCATGGCAATCCTCTTACTGGCTCACCCTCCTCTGCCAGCATCGTGTCCTGGGGTCAAGAGCCATACCTACCTTGCCTGTATCTGAGAAACTCGCCTGTTCCAAGCCTCCTCCTACTAGCTGTATATCTTGGTTATTCTCAGAGGCTGCCTGCCTACTAGGGGAGATTGGCTTTGAAATAAGCCTCTCTGCTTCTCTCATCTCTAGGTCTGGAACTGGCCCACATTCTGAAGTCACCCCCTCTTTTCCTTCTCCTCTAGAGTCAAGCCAGGTGGCCTTGAGAATGTGCACCAAGGCAGGAACTGTCTTTCTCATTCCCAACAGAGATTGCCTTGTACCCTGGCCTGGATGCTTGTAAGCTTCCAAGTTTGGACAATTAGTGCAGCATAGGGTCACAAGGTTGGTGGCCGGTTTGCAGGGGATACCGTATGAGGTGAGACTGAGGAAACTGGGTCTCTTCAGCCTGGAGAAGAGGAGACTCAGAGGGGATATGTTGGCAACATACAGGTATGTGAGGGAATGTCACACAGAGGTGGGTAGAGACCTGTTCTGCTCTGCAGATGAAGGCAGGATGCGCTGCAACAGAGCAAATCTCAGGGAACCAAGGTTCAATTTCATTGTCAGGAAGCACTTCCTGACAGTTAGAACCCAGAGGGTGTGGAATGGGCTTCCACGGGAGGTGGTTGAAGCCCCATTGGTGAGGGTGTTCAAAGATAGGCTGGACATGCACATGGTGGGAATGTTGTGAGCGGAGCTGGCTAGAGCCGGGGGTCAGACTAGATGGCCCGGGAGACCCCTTCTGACTCGCTCTGTTTCTATGTTTCTATGATCACAAACACCTGCTCTAGGGGCAATAGGACTGCACTGGCTCTAATGAAAGTGAATACCAAAATATTCAGTAAAAGGTCAGTATTTTACCATTTTTTCCTGTTTTGCCTCTTTACTTTGTTTTCCTTAATTAGCCAAGCCACCTAGTACTAATTTCCTTGCAAGTCTAGTTTTCAGTGTTATCATGGTATAAGCTATGCAAGTGAGGGTGTGAATGTTACATATAGATGATCTTAGAGAATGAGAGTCCATAAACTGAACAGTTTCCCCCTTTGAAACTGGAAAGCATTAACAGGAGTAATACTCTATATTTTTCTCCAAACTCTGGGAAGTTCAGTCCAGTTTTGACTATGATATCTCAATTAAACTAACCATTTCTGGGGGGGGGGGGGGGAGAGAGAGAGAGAGAGAGAGATATTTCATTCATTCATGTTAAGTATGCTAGAGATTGAGAGCATTTGAAAATGGAAAGGTGTGACTTTAATCTCTTTACTATTTCCTGGTAGTGCTCAGACCAGTAAAGCCATTTTCCATGTCTTTAAGGTGGAACCCTCCTGGGTTGCCATCCATTCATGGTCTTATCTGCTTCCAGGATTCTTGTGTCCTGCCAGACTGTTGCTGGCTACAGCTGGATGAAAGAGTGATGGAGAAGGCCTTCACCTTTTCCTCCTCCTTCCACTCCACATCTCTGAATGAGCCCCAAGAGCCATGCAGGTGAAATCAATTGTGCAACTAGGTCAGTGAGAAAGGGGATTCTGTACTTCACTCATACAGTATGATTTTTTAAAAAACCCTTTATTAAGATCTGTTTATCAGTACCAATTGCCCAGTCAGAGGATATACTATTGGCCTACATCAACAAATTCATTCTATTTTTTTCAGTATATATCCACTCCAAGGAACACAATGAATCAAATGAAATTATATGAAGTATGAAATGAAATTAATGAAATTACACAGCAGTACAGAGAAGGGTAAAGATGAGGTATGGATGTGGAGAAGACAGATGTAGCTTCTCAAAGTATATTGACCCAGACTGCACAATCTGTTGCCTTACCTCTGGAAAGTATTTTATGAAATTTCATCACAAAGAAGGCAATCTTGGTATAATATAGCAGCTGATGACACTGAAACTTAAAATGAGTTATTCATAGGGCTATTGCATCCCTATACCATCCAAAAGCTGAAGTTCCCTGGTGGCCCAGCACAGTTAAAACCATAAATACTTTTATTATGTTTCTAATTTCAAATATGGAAATATAAATTCCAAGATTAAAAAGTTGGAAAATAAAACAAACATGAATAAGAGCAGAAGAGAAGAAGTCTCAGAGCAAGATGAAGAGGAATTATTCAACTTACAAACAAATGGGATGTAGTAGCACAGTTATTTAGTAAAAAGATTGCAGATTTCCTATTGAAAGTGGAAAGTGTACAAACCCCAAAAACACTATGTCCCCATTAGATGCTGTCTAGAAAGCTGCAGGATTGCACAGTTCACCTGTAAATTTACACACACTGATCTAGGAGTAAGAAAGATCTAAATAGTTCCTCTACTTCAGAGTAGGCATCAGTAAAAGTCTTAAATCAGCTTACAGTTCTATGGTTAGTACATGTAATGGAATAAGAAATATATCCTTACATGGGGAAGTCAAAAGAAGACTCAGGATATTCACTGAAGGTTAATTGATCTAGAAAAATAATGCACTGAGAAGCTGTCCCACCAATCATGAGGTCACCTCCTGTATAATATTGATGTGGACTATCAATTTGGTCATGGAAGGTACATTGAGCAATAGGTCTCCCAAACACTGCATAAGGTATCTGCATCAGAAGCAGCAGCATTTCCAAGGATACTATTGTTATGACAATAGACTTCCTCCAGATGAAGATCTCAGAAGTTTCAGCTTAAGTCATATTATTAATAAAACTCTTCTGCCTCTAGCAAAGATCCTTAAACACAGCTGACGCAGCTCTTACAGTATAGGAGGTTCTCAAAAGCTGGAGTGATGAGTGCTGCTTCTTCAGCACCACTCCTCAACGTCAAGCATGCCTATAAAAGAACATTTGTCATTGCTTTTTGTGTTTCATTTTGCAGTTTCTTACAATCGACATGCAGGGTTTGTCCAAGGAAAAACAAACTTAAGTCTATACTTAGGATCCACAGAGGTCATGAGGAGAATTGCAGGGTAACTGAACTGAGAGCTGCAAAGGATGAAAATAGCACATGTAAGAAAATGGGTCCTTAGGAGTATTTTATCAAGCATACTTCTAGGGGAAACAAAGCATGATGGCCAAAGTCATTTTGCTTTGCCAAGTATAGTGCAATGCCCCTTGAAGTACAGGGCTATGAGATGGAGTCATAAGGAAAGACATCTCTTTGAGATGCAACTACCTATATTACATCCCCTTCTAAACAACCTGACTCCTTATTTCAGAAATGCCTATGTCCAACTCATGACCTATGTGATCATGCATTCAAATCCACAAATATTCAGGGAAAGGATAGTGCAAACCATTGCCTTCATTATTACCAGTGCAATCCAGCATTCATGATCACTGGGAAGGATGATAGGCCATCGTGCATGTGGCTGATTGCATTGTAGGGTTGTGGAATTTGATCACGTGCTTGGAGGAAATTTGCTATATGCAACTGTTTTCTGTTCAGGGACATGAAAAAGTAGCTGCAATAGGACTTTGAATTTTCTGACGCTTGGTTTCCCTCCCAGTGGAGATTTCTGTGATATGCTATGATATGCTGATGATGGCAAGTTTCAACAATATGCACAATGCTTAAATATACTGTGACACACCTTGCTGAAAATAAGAGGATTCTTCAAAAATTGCTGAGATACCTCATGCTATTTGGTGCTCAGGCGGTTGTCCAGTCAATGGTGGATTCAGTGCAAACTGTGGTGATGTAAAGAGAACTAATCACCAATGCTGAAAGAAAGGGTGTAGAAGTGATTTCTTTGCACAATTAATTCCTTTATTTACTGTTGCTGCCATCAGCACTCACTTCCCCATTTGATATGTGATAAAAGATCTGGATGTTTCTGCAAGGAAGAATATCAGCTGTTCCTCCCAATTCACCATTGAGTTATGGTGCTCTGTTCTTGATTTGTCACTTGGCTTCCTAGGCTCAATTTGTGCAGCATAAACAAACAGTCTGGCATTTAAGGAAAACATGCTTAGGATGTCAAAAAGTCGAAGTAAAGATTTCAAGGTAAATGTTTATTAAGGTAAAGAATAAAGAGCAGAAGGAGAGAGCAGTTGATAATACAGCAGAGCAGCAGGAAAAGGAGAGGGAGAATTATTCAGTTTGTGGGGAGTGGTAAGGTAAGGTTCATTAAATTGGTTTCTTCTCAAATCTTAGGTTCCAACATAAATGTTTGAATTGAATCTTCCATTGTTTCCCATTGACTGAGGGAGGTTGAGGGAGGGTGGGAAAGGTAAGTGCAAGAGAAGAAAAAAGTCAAGAATCAAGCAATAAACAAATCTGGAATTTATTTAGAGTAGGCACATGGATAACAATGAAATTTAGGTTAGTTATGATTACCTACATCTTATCATTTTTATCTCTTTATTGAAAACCAATTCTGGATCCAAAGCATATCAAACTATGAGGTCATCTGTATATATGTATAGTACTTTGGAGGCAAAGTACTATACATACATTTTTAGGAATTTTTTAAATGTTTATCCTGCATGCTGTGTCCCTTTTTAATTATTTTTAAGGATGTCTAATTTATTTTGTTTTAATTGGCTTTTAATGTGTTTTTACCGTCAGTATGTTTTACATTGTAAGCTGCCTAGGAAGGCCTCAGCAATTATAGGCAGCCTATAAATACATGTAAATAAATGAGTAAATAAAATAAATGCAGGACCAGGGAGGATGGCAGACTACCTGGAGTGATGCTGCCTTATTGGGAAATTTCTGTCTTGAATTTAGACCTATCCATCCCTAGACATTATTCTCCAGTAAAAGACTACTGCTCATATGATGGTCAGTTGCATCAAGGACACTTTTCCTTCAGCTTTTTGAAAAAGATGAACTAATTAAAAAAATAGAAGCCTTGTTCATATAATATTCCATGTAACACTGGTTTACAAGGAAAAAGCCTCGAAAATGAAAGTAGCTAAATTTTACCAGAATTGGGTCACTAATAAAGGAAAATTATGTCCTGAATATTAATTGACCCTAGTTTCCAAGATACAGATTCAGGTCAAAATTGCATCAAAATAATTCAAAATTATGGGGTGAATGTATGATTATGCTCCATAACTTTTCTGCAAAATGTGATATTGCAATGAGAATGGTTCCACACCAATCATTATACATTATTGATACCAATAGCATAACTTTCCATTCATTTATTGGTTTTTCATGTAACATTTTCTTGCTTTTAGCATGAAAAACTGACAAGCTCTGACATCAGATTAAATGACAAGGTTTCATCTTTATTCAGTATCTAAACTGTGCCTTTTAACTTTTCTCTTGTGAACTACAGTAGGATCATCCCTGGAGAGATTCCAACAGTAATCAGCAAACAAGTATAAAACCAGTAAAGCCAATAGCATGCCATAATTGAAACACATTGAGGATAGGCCTGTGTGAACAGACGGGTCTTGAATTGGTGCCTGAAACATGCTGCATTTGGATTCACGATGGGATTGGTGGCCATTGAAAAATGGGGACGTGATACTAAACAGAAGTCTCACTGAAACATGGCAATCTTCAAGTCATGGCAGAGGAAGCAAAGCCTCTTCCAATAATACTAGCATTCTTACAAGGCTGTATTGGTGAAGGTGTTCTATCAGGGTGAATAGGTAGTGAATAGGTCATCACAGTGAGTGTTGCTTTTTGCAAGACCCTTTCAATTAGAAGCATGGCATATACACACATAAGCTAGAAGCAATTTCTGGAAATGAATCACTATTGATTCTCAGAAACAAATATAAGAGATTTCTCATAGTCATGACACATCAGAGGAGGTATGCAGTGAAGCATCTAACCTGTGATATCAAGAGAAAACTGGAGAATTTAAATCATGGCATCAGAGATTGACACCTGAAATCACTAGTGTTTTAACTCTCAATCTCCTCTATGTGCACCTTCTTCTCTCTTACAAGACTAGGGAAGTGTGTCAGTAGGTGTGATGTTCCTATTCTGCAACTTGGATTTAGGGTTGAGTTTTGAAGGAGCTTGCACAGATCAGATATTAGGACAGATTTAACAGAATATTTTTCAATAATTTATGATTATTAAAATATTGGCTTTCTCCCTACTTTCACTTCAGGCCTCTCCACTGTCTTCCAGGCATATTTGTAGCATTTTTAGAGTAAGAAAAGTCTCATATAATTCAAAATGGTACCATTATTCACTATGGAGACATAGTGCATAAATGTAATTATGCTCTATACCATAGTGCCGCCTTGTGCTGGGTAATGCAATGTATAGCAACATATAGGAACCCATCCCGAGATCTTGTATAATAGGGCAGCATACAAAAGCTTTTAATTAATAAATAAATAAATAAATGAGATAATACAGAAATACCTGGATCTCCCTGCCATGACCATCTTTTGGAGGATACAGTAATCCTCCCACAAAGAAAACAAAACAGACCTTGGTATAGTGCTGGGTTGGGTGAATGATGCAGAAAAAGCCACTATAGATGATACTGAGATAATAACAAAAGTGTTTACATAACAATAAATACATAAGAGAATAAAGCAGATTTATCTTTATGAGACCAGATTTATTGGATGGTTGAATTAATGTTGACACTCATGTGAAACATCTGGATTTGGGAAAAGATATGACATACATCTTTATAAATTTATTTCTTCAACCTCGTGAGTCGCAAAAGTATAGGTGATTTATGTCAGAATTGCTTGCTTAGTTTAATGCAATGAATTCATCACTTCTCTATTAGTCCTTTACAAACTAAAATGCAGTAACCATAGGAGAATAATCTCTGTACATACAGCTTTATCTACTGTAAAAGCAGAGGTTGTTGAAGCAGATCAGACAAGGAGGAGGGTATCAAGGGTTTCTACCATATGGAGTGGAAGGCATGTCTTACCTTATTGAAAGCTCTTATATAAGTGGGTTTGATGACTTAGTCATCAAACTAAGTGGGCTGGAATAATGGATATATTGAAGCACTTCTTTGTGGATGAGGGTCTTCCTCAGAATAGAATGAGATGGTGCTGAACTGGGAAAACCTATCCATTTAAATCTATGTCATATTCACACCTTTCTCCATATGAAAGAATATAAATCAAAGCCATGTTGAAGGTTACCATAAAACTTAAATCAATGGCTAGAGTAACAGGGCCAACATCTGGAAAGAAGTATTAGGATGGCTAAGTTTTTCTCTTCATTAGATTCTCCTTTTTATTCAGTTCTGGTCTTAGAATAATAATGTAGCATTTTGGGAAGAAGATGCAACCCAAAAGCCCAGCACTGGAGGCTAAGATAGAAAATATCTCCACAGCCACCATGTATTTTCCCTTAGTGCTCTGGTAGGTTGGAAGAAAGGACAACCACACAGCACAAAACACTAGCATGCTAAAAGTGATGAACTTGGCTTCATTGAAACTGTCCGGGAGTTTCCTGGCAAAGAAAGCCACAGTGAAACTCAGAAATGCCAAGAAGCCGATGTAGCCAAGGGCACAGTAAAACATAGTTATGGACCCCTCATTACATTCTAGTACAATTTCTTCAGGCATGGTGGCCATGTCAATGTCTGGGAAAGGGGGAGAGGTTGCCAGCCATGCAGCACAAATGCCTGCTTGAACATGGGAACAGAAAAGGACCATGGATGTGGTCAGTCTTTTCCCCAGCCATTTCCTCATGTTGCTTCCTGGTCTGGTAGCCATGAAAGCCAGAACCACTGCGATGGTTTTTGCCAACACACAAGAAACAGCTACTGAGAAGGTGATGCTGAAAGCCATTTGTCGGATGAAACATGTCACTTTCTGAGGACGGCCGATGAATAGCAACACAAAAAGGAAGCAGAGAAGGAGGGAGATGAGGAGGGTGTAGGTGAGGTCCCGGTTGTTGGCTTTGACGATGGGAGTATTGTGGTGCTTCACAAATGTTCCTGTTACCATGGTAGTAGTCAAGGAAAACAGAAGTGCAGCAATTGCTGAGCTCATTCCCAGCATGTCCTCAAAAGTCAAAAAGGTCACTTTCTTGAGGATGCAGTGCTTTTGCTCCTTGTTCGGAAAGTGGTCTGCTTGGCAGGTGGTACAGGAATCCATGTCTGAGGAAAAGAGAGATGCATTTTCAAGCTTGATTAAATGTAGCATTTTGCAATCGCGATCAAAGCTTTCATTTCTACTGTATTATGGAAAGGCTGGGTGGATGTAATCCTTGATTCTCAAATTATAATAGTGCTTTCATTGCAACCAGGATTTCGATTAAGATTTAAGAGATTTCTTACACACACTTATCTGATGCAACTATTCTGTCTAGCCACATTTAAATCCCCCTTTTCAAAGAATCCCATACTCCTCATTACTATGTCACTTAGAGGGTAAATGGAAGAGAACCAGAAAGGAAACACTCTGCAATGAAACCAGAAATAGATACAGGATTAACAGCTTAATACAGAAAAACAAAATATCAACCCAGGTCATTACCATGGGCTACTTAGTCAAGCTATTTCACAAGTATGTTGATGCTTTAATATGGAGAAGCTAAACAATTTTCAGACTTGAGGCTGAATCCAGTTCTGGAGACAGTCAGACCACAATGAATTTAAGATGGGAGAATAATACTTCTGAAGTTAGAAAACCATCTAAGTACTGATCCACAGAGAAAAGAGAATGAACAATGGGGAAGGAGAGGCCATATAAGAAACCTCATAGGGCTGAATTAGAAGCCGAGGTGGGCTGGTTCTGGCCCATGAATATTAAGCTCAATGGGACTACTCAGTTGTGAAAAATTAAGAATCTGTTTCTCAGGGCTGAGTTAGTACTCCAGTTAACTTTACTCCCACTCATCCATAACATTTAAAAGACCTACTTCTCTATTAACTCAGTATGTGGTAACTGTCATGGTTACATCGGGGAGCAATAAAACTAAAGTCCTTTATTGCTACTAATCTACAAGATTTACAACTCTATAGATAAGCTTTACTGTTGATGTCTTTACAATGCAGATGCTAATCCTTTAGCGAAGTCTCTCCCCAAGCCCACGTGGGACTAGCTCTCCTGGTCCCGCCTTGCTTCTCTCTGACATAACAGGGCCTGTTTTTGCTCCCACCTCCTCAGAGTTCTGTGATTGGATGCTAGGGGAAAGTCTACCACGCCCCCTGCATTCTCTGTGTTGTGCTCAGGAAGTTCAGTGTCAGTTGGGGGAGGGATAGTCTGCTCTAACTCTTTCTGAGCAGAACTCATAGTGTCTTTTCCCTTGGGGCTCTCTTGCTTTGATGTGGGCTCTGGTGTTTGCTCAATGGGTGTGGAGTCAGGGGGAGGTACAGCTATCTGTTCAGCCACCCCCAAGCTAGGTTGTGGGGTCAGCATTTGGGTACAGGGTCCCAAGCACAAGACCTCCTCGAGAGGTGCTGCCTCTGTTGGGGCTTCAGACATGACACTAGCAAATTCACCAATGTAGTTTGGAATACGGTCACCCATTATGACAGAGCAGACAAACTTAGATGAAGTATAAGGCTTAGCCTCTGATGGCAAGTTAAGAAGTGGTATAAGGGGTCTCTGATTCCTGTCATGGAATATGCAACAAAGAGTAAGCACAAAGCACACTTGGGGTACTGGAATATGGTGTGGAGCAGGATGATGGCACTCTGCTGCATGGCATCATGGGGTGTGGGCATGACATCTTTTGACCCCAACCAAAATATGGCCTGAATTTATGTTGGTTGAGACACCATGTAAAAAGGACTGCTCTGCCAGACAACACATCAGGGCTACTTCCCCACCATGTGCCTTTGCTCACTGGGAAGGATACAGGGAGAGTGAAGCATGAAGCACTGCCATTTCCTTTCCAATTTACGGAGTAAATGACATGTGGGAAGGTCCTAATATATTGATCAAAGCAATTCGTATACATCAAGGAGTAATATGCCCAATCAGTAAGTCTGAGCAAGAGCAGTAATATTCCAAATCAGATTTTTAAAAAGTGTTTTTAAAAAATCTCAAAGAGGCAATAAAAGGTGAAGGCGCATATGCATTCTAAGATAGAAGAGAAATTACTGCCTGCTCTGCTCTGCTCTGCTCTGGTCTGCTAGGCTCTGCTTGGCTTGGCTTTTTAATGCCTAGCATAATTTGGAAAGACTCCTTTTCATCAGAGGCAGCTTTCTTAGATGTCTTCATTCATGATTTCAATTTAGTTGGAAAGCAAGGCACCAAGATTGAGATTCAGATTGCTTGGTTGAAGATGGGAAGAACAGTGCCCAGACTGATGAACTTATGAACTATATAAAAGCATTCTAATGCTACTATTACAAACTAGGTATCAACAAGGATGGTCATTTAACCATTTTTACTTTTATTTTAACTGAAGGTGTTACAATCTTCCACATTCTACCTGTCAAATAAGAAACCTTCCCTTTTGCACATGGAACACAATCATAGCAGCAAAATGGCTTCCCTTCTTTCTTCTTCTTCTGATACCCAGGGTTGCATATGTTATTACACAGAGAAATGGGAACAACCTTTCCAAGGAAGGGAAAAATCCATAGTTAAGTACTTTCTCAGAAGAATTCAAATAATCTACATTCATATTTGACTCTCTCTGCACTGCAAGTGTATAAGGGAATGCTCAGGTCTTCAGATGAAAGTTGATGATGTATACTACATAGACATTAAAACCCAAACAATTGATGCCCTGAATAACTTTAGACTGCTTGCAATTACATTCATGTGGCTAAGGGTACAAATCAATGCAGAGGTACTTAAAAGTAAGCTCCACTTATCACAGTGGGAAATACTTCTAAGTCAACATGCATAAGACTGTGTTGTAAATAAATATACCAGTATAAAGACTGTAGAGTTAGGGTATAAACTAATTCACACATATTTTCCTCAATTAGCTTATGCAAGCTAAAGCCTGTACAAAATCCCACCTGGTTAAATCTTTGTGACCATATAATGGCATCATCATCAATGAGGAATTTTTTTTCTGGAAGAGCCCAAGGATTCATTCTTCCAACTTTCACTCTAGCATAGGAATTATTGGAGAAAGTAATCACATTGGTAATATCAAACTCCATTGTAAATTCCCCATTTTCATTTAAAAAGATGGTTTCTCCAGCACTGTTGTTAAATGAGAAGTTCCTTAAAATAGCATGGAGCTCAGAGGAAGGAAAAAAAGGAATAAATAAATAATTTAATAACAGTAGTTTTAAAAAGATGAATTTTAAAACGAGTATCCTTGATGGGCTGAGACTGCTTTGCCAAAGAGAAATCTTAGTTGCAAAATAAGTTATTTCAGTGAAAAAAATGTAAATCTGATTATGATGGTAAAAAGTAGAAAGGGAAAATTTGAAATGGCATTATGCTGCCTATTTAAATTCCAATTAAAGGCAAGGATAGTAATTGTTAAATTTTAACAAGAGAATATGGAATAGTTTACAAAGTTCCCTCCTTAAATTCAATTTACATAATGAACTGTTGTGTTATTAAGGAGGAGAATGAAGGGCAATGTTCTACTTAGATTTCAATTCCATGGCAGAAGGACCTTGGACTCTTATTTTAACACCTGGACAGATTCTATCAAAAGCCATTACCTGCCATGGCTGTATAAACTTATGGTCTTGTCTTCTTCTGACTGCCATTACAGTTGATCTGGATGAGTAGAATGCATGTATAGAAGTTGCCAAAGCATATACTGCATTATAGACAATGTAGCTATGGCCGGTCATACTCATTTCAAAGAAAGGCCCAGGAATGCTCTCCAACTTTTCTTTCCCAGTGCAACTTTTCACATCCTCCTCCTCCAGATTAGAATTTGAAAATGAACAGCCAAATACTTGCTCCCAGAATGTGTGGATAAAGCCATCTCCCTTGGCCAAGTGAGGTGTTAGAGTCTGAATAAAATTGTGAAAACTTGGAACTTCATGTGAATGTATTGTGAATGCTAGGGCACCATGAAAGACTTCTATATTCCAGTCCTTATGCATGCTCAATGCTACCAAATCCAACTGGACTGTCATAACCCAAACTTTATAAAATATTTTTTCATGGTCAGTTTTTCCTTGATTTAGCAGCATTCTCAAATTTAGCATAGTGCCAGTATCTCCATGGATAATGATAACATTGGCATCACTATTCATAACTTCTCCAAATGTTCTGTTAAAGTTTTCTTGCACTGCTATGAAGTCATCAAAAAAAGTAATTTTGAACATTTTCTTTGTGAAAGCAGGACAGATGCCATTCTGATGCAGTTCTGGCAATATGGTCTTCAGAAACATTTCTGCGTTATCATCATCCATAGTCATTAGGCCCACCCACAGCCATCTGAAATGCAGAAGTAGCTGGACAATTCCTCTATACTGATGGATTTTATTAGGAAGCATTTGGTATAAGGAAAGGAAGTTTGTGCTACCCTTCATGGGGGTAGAATCATCATAAAAGAACTAAAAAAGGGGAGGGGCAGGTATTTGATAAAAAGATAGAAAAGCTGTAGATTAGCTGTATAGAGAGATAGATATTTGATAAATACATGATAAATAGACAGACATTGTGTATTTTGTTCTAATTTATCTCTATTCCCAGAAAAGTGAAGAATGCATTGGAGTTAATTCTCTCTATAAATAAAATATCTATGAAAGAGAGGAAAACTTGGAAACACGGTTCATGCTTTCATCAATTCCACAGTATTATAAAAATGTCTGTGGAGAACTGCTGTTGAAAACAACTCAGAACAGTTGAATAATTAGTGATGTATGACTTCCTTCTCTGGCACCTTTCATTATGTCTTCTGTTCATGGATAGAATCAATTTTTGTCCAGATATATTGGCATACACTTGTACAAACATACATTTCCAAAGATGTACAAATCACTGCTAAATATGAGAATCACTCCCAATGGAAAAAAAGAATGGCAGGGATGGGGATGTTCAGTTTCAGTTGGTCATATGTTATTACCATATTAGATTTCAGATTTTTCTGCAGTTAAATTTGTGTCAAGTCATGGAAAGTAACACAATAGAGTTTATTTGTCTGCAAGATTGCAGAGTCTGTGTGGTTCAGGGGAAGCAGGTCTGCTGTGGAATTTATAGCGTGGTTTCAGAACCACTTGTGGATTTCTCAGATATTTCTATGTCTAATACTATTGCATTTCTCCTAATAGATGTGGGGATACCTAAACATGCACTGACAAATGGCTTGGATCCATTAATTCTTGAATATTTTTCCTAGGTGGACATGTGCCCTTTCTGAAAGGCTTCCAAAGAAGCTTTTTGGGGTCCTCTGCTGATTGTGGGCCCCTATTTTGGTAGTGCTCCAGCATATTAAAGCAGCACACAGGGAATCAAGTCCTTCCCCATAGATTTACATGGGGATTGGAATACTGAGGGCTTGAATGCTTAAACCTGAGTGTATTTTATAGAGCTATGAAGTACATACACTCAATCAGGGGTCTTCAACATGGTGCTCTCTCCAATGGAGCAAACAAGGAAGAGGGCAGCCAAACTTGTTTCTGGGGGGAGAAAATCTTTTAATATATTTACATGAAGATTCAATGAATTTAGAAGTAATTTAAAATAGTTTGTACATCAGGGAACATTATAGATTAAGCCAGTAAAAACTGGCAAACAAAATATTATAACCTGTTCTCCCAAAGAAGAAACGATTATAAATTACCAAACATTTGTTTAAAGGGAATATGAAATGCACTGCTCTGCAAACCATTGCCTAAATTAGACAATCTCTTATTAAAAAGTCATTGTGGATTCAGCATACATAAAAACATTTGCTGAATAAGAAACAACCAGAGAAACCAAAGCAGTGCTCTAATAATTTGATATTTTGTGATGGTGTTCACAGCAAGTTGTCAAATTCCCACATATGCCCATGGACTAGAAAGCTTGGAGACCCATGCATTGAATAGCAGTAATAGTTACAGAAGAAAGAAGAGCATGGGGAGGAAGAGGAGGAGGAATGGATCTACATTTGAATGAAAGAGGAAGAGGAAAAAACCTAGGTAAAGATGTAAACTCTTGGATGGGTCCAAAATTAGTCATATTAATACTACATTCATTGAAATCGAAGGGGTAAATTATCCTATATCTACCAGCATCTCCATTTATCACCAAACACCAAGTCATATAAACTTAGACCAATTGCTGTCAAAACTTTTTTCTCAGAATACAAACACAAGATAGGTTCTAGGAAAAGCAAGCTAAAGCAAGTTTGTAAGTACCTGTGGAAGCTTGTAAATATCCAAAATGGTGGAAAAGTGGTGGGACGTTTCAGAGCCTAGTCCACCAATGACTCCTATCAAGTTGTTATAAATTCCACACTTATAGTTTGGAACAAATCTATGGTGTGTGGAGAAAAATTCCATTACAATGTGATAGATTCTCTTTGGACTAAAGTAGCTCTCAAAAATGTGGAATCCCAAGGTAGTATTGGGCAAGATGTGTGGATTTCCATTTATTTCCTTGACAGCAAATGCCAAAGCCAGGACATGCTGATAATTCTTTGTCACTATCCTGCAAGAAAAGTTAAATGACTTGCCACAGGGGAGTGAAACAATTCCTGATGTCCTTTGATATACTGCTTCTTTGATATTTTCTAAATTGGTGCACCAGATAATGTATTTCACTACAGCTATGTGGCTTTTACTAAAGGACTAAAAGATATACACATTTTCAGAATTATGTAGGAATGCACATAAGTAAAAACAAGATCACCTGCATTAACTGCAGTCTTCTTCCTCAATAGGCTATTTTATATTAGAACTAAATAGAAGAACGATATTATGTGTGCGTACAGTAGATGAGTACCCAGCCATTCTCCAAAGATGGGTAATTGTATATATAATGAGATGAAATGGCATGAAGCAACTGCAAACTGTAGGGATGGCCATCAGCATGAACAAATGCAGATTAGGCAAATTCACGCAGCATAAAACTATCAATACCTAATAGTCATGGTGGCTCTGTATTGGCACCCATATCAGAGGCAATGTTTCCACCAGATGCTGGGACAGGGCAGGGGATCATGTCTTTCCTGCGGGATCCCAATAAGCAAGTGCTTGGCCACTGTGGGATAAGGATGCTGCATTCTACAGACCTTTGCTTTGATGTAGCATGGCCCCTCTTAGGTCCTTCTTTCACCATCATCATAACTAACAATATCGATGTGAATTGAGATGGAGGTTTAGCAGGCATGAAGGTATATATAGTAGGGACTTTTACTGGAATTCTAATGCCTGACTCACTGGTGTGCCACTTAACAGGTACTCCAAACCCACACCCTCACGCCATTTCTGCCAAAATATCCTATTTGCATTTTTACAGAGCAGTGTTATCATTTTCTTCAGTGTAGGCTAAACACTGTGGTGCTGACTTCCTTCTTCCCCATCCCCATGGCTTCTCAGGTCTCTCTGCCTTTCCCAGTGAAGTGGAGAATAAAGGGGCATGCAATGTCACTTCCAGTATTCCCCTCTATCACTTTTTAAAGGTTTGAAATACCTTTGCAACCCTTGCCCATTGACTTCTTGGGGCTTCCTGTTTTCATACTGCAAGGAACAACTAGCTGAAAATGCACTGATGCCATGTCTACTCAATTACATTTATTTTCACATTTATTTTTTCAATTCTGTGTTCTGAAAAAGTAGACATAAGAGAGGGGCTGCATTTGCAGAAGGAAGGAGCACCCAGATTTGCCATCTTCTTATCCTACTCGCTTCAACTCTTTTCTCTTTTCTTTTCTTTTTTTCAGCTGGGAGTGGTGGCAGAAAGAACAGGCAACTAATTAAAATGCATATTATATGAAATGATTATTTTATTTAATCATTTACCACCACCTCTGACCCAACTTCTTCACACCAGGAAACGTGCACATTATCTTAATGGATGTTAAAGCAACAAAATATCCCTCTTCATTTCCTTCTGCTTCTCTGAAAATTGCCTTTGTATTTGATACCAAGATCACATCTTCAGCATAGGGGAAACTGGGCTGTACTCATGAGGAGGTACCCCAACAGTGGTAAATGTAGTTTGCTCAATGCTCCCTGATACGTGGAATGGGTTCTATAAACTCACAGAACCTAGAACTGAGAATGACATGTACTGGAATCTTGCATCAAGACAGCAAAACCCAGTGCTTGAAACAAAAGAAGAGAGGATTTCTTCATATAACACAAAGGGTGATAATAAAATTACATGATGATGCTAGGAAAAAATGTTTTAAAAACATAACTCCATGATCACGATCAGAAAAGAAGCTTAAAATGAAATGAAGAGGAATCTTCGTCATGAAAAAATGCACTGAGATGGAAAAACTGAAAATGAAGTTAAAATGATAGTGAGAGAGAAAAAAAGAAGTGATTAACTGATTCTTAGTGCATTTTGACCCTTCCATTTTTATTGTTAATCAGCTATGATTGCCATTCTATGCCTACTGAACTCAGTGGAATGTAATTTCAAGTTTACAAGAAAAGCGAAAAAGACTTTGAATATTTTGCAATTACATGAGAGTGGAAAATTAGAGAACCTTACATGGGAATGTCAGTATGAGAAGCTGGATATTCAGAAAAGGAGAATCGTTCCAAAAATACAATCACTTGAGAGGCAGTCCCCCCAATCATGAGGTCCCCTGACTCTGAATATCTGTGAGGAGTATAGAGAGGCTTGCGGATGGCACATTCAGTATGTCCCTGGAGCTCACTGTCCGGTATCTGCAGCAACAACATCAATTCCAACACCGCCATCTCAATAATTGTACATCTTCTGCAGGGACACATTCTGTATTTTCCTCCTACAGTTAGATCAACATTATTGTCCTAATTTATACAATCTGTCTTAAAAGGCAGTTCCTACCGTCATCTCCAGTCCATACGAATGTAAAGAAAGTTGTGAGGAATTGCATCTGTGGAGCTCTCTTTATTTACCTGCCATTTTAACACTGCTTAGGATTTCTCAAATATATCTGTCCTGTTTTCATGTGTTGTTACATTGTAGCTTCTGGAAATCCATATGTGAGAAGAGAAAATCACAAGGTAGATCACTCATGCCTTCTACCAGGTTCTTGGTGATAGTTAGAGCACAGGAAATAACAAAATATCCAATTAGCATCTCCAAAGAAATTGACCCGAGAGTGCCATTACTTCAACCGCAGTTATTGATGATGCAAAACATTTGTCTAGCTTGGCCATGGTGTTTTTATGTTCTTAAGTGTGTTGGGGGGAAAAAGAATGAAGGAAAAACCCTGTCATGGGATCAGAGAGAAAGGAGAGTATAAGCCTATATGATCTTTTTTAAGACCACTGGATTTAATTACATCCAGTGTAACAAATATGCAAGTTTACAAAGATAGCTCTGTCAGCCTGTCTTTCTTCCTATCAAGAGTTCAGCTGGCAGGTTTCCTGATGAGCTATGAGATAAAAACAATGTTCATCTCAGCAACCAAAATAGCATATCCAAGAACAGTGCATCACAACACTGATTGGTGGTTTACTTGGAGTATGCCCCATTTCATCCTAAGCTCTAAGCTTCATGGAATCCATGAGCATCCTGTTCAGGAACAAGAGAAAATTGGCATTAAAGTTGAAGAGATAATATCTGGGGTTTGTTATTTTGCTAGAGGGGTTCAGCTGTGAATTGATCTATTTCTGTTGTTTTGTCTACCAGTAGTTGGCAGGATGGGTCAAACATTACTGGGGAAACTCTTCTAGTGGTGAGGCTACACATACCATAAGGCAATGTACAACCAGGACAAGAGATTGTATTTTCTTCTGAGACAATATGCCAGTGCATGGAGGATGAGTAAGCCCAATTCTTGACACTGCACAACATTGTCACTGATTAAAAGCTGACAGTTGTGATGCTAGCCTTAGCTGACAAATTCGTCTGCTTTCTGGAACCTGTGATAAAATGAGGTAGCCTTAAAAGGGCCTGCTCTTCAGACACCAAATTTCACTTGTTTCTACAAAAGAAATGTACAGTTACTCTAACAGCAATCTCCCCTCTCTGTGATGTATTTAATTATAGTTTCTTGCCAGTTTCAGTGACAAATGGGATTACATATATTTAACTTAGATAGTGCTATACATGATTTCCTCTCTAGAAGCAGGATTCGAAAATGTCATGGAAATTTCAGTGGATAAATGAGGCTGTCCTCCATAGACAGGTGTCCCACACATGCAAATGTAAATGGGAACAATGAAAGAGAAGGTACCTCTATCAAATTCATCCTGATTTCCCTTCCTCGTTGAGACACAATCAGAATACCTGAATAGGACTCAGTTGTCATAGGCATCTCAGCAAACTCACAAAGACTGTGAAAACACATATGGCATAACATGTGAATATGCCAATAATGTGTGAGAGTCCTCTGATCCAATGGCTGAGATGCTACTCCAAAGAAGGAAAATAAGCCAACTAAAAAACTAAAGTCTCACTTTGAAGGAATGGGGGTGGAAGCCTTTAGGAAATGGATACAGTAATGTATATGGGAATCTTATGAAGAATGAATGGCTATTTGGTGAAATCAAGCCTGAGTGTTCTTTAGAAGATGAAGCTCAAATACTTTGGCCACAGAATGAGAAAGACTCATTAGATAAGATCCTAATGCTGGGAACAATTGAAGGTGAAAGATGGAGACAGTAGAGGTTGAAGTGACTGGATAGGTCACTGGATCAGGGGGTGTGGGGTTGGATGGACTCTGGGTAAGGGGGAGGAAAGTTGTGCATGGAGTTGTGAAGAGTTGGACACAACTGTGATTCTGGGGGAAGGTGGAGGACAGGAGAGTCTGGAGGAATGTTGTCCATGGAGAAAAGTTGGACACAACTGCAATTAAACAACAATTGGCAAGGAGAAATTATATGAAAGGAGGTTATATGAATAGTTTATATAAAAGAAACTAGCTTCCTCTACATTGTGTGTACACTTATGATGGTACAGGTTGATGGGGTGAAGGGGAAGCTGTACTTAGGTGGTGGGATGCATTTCTGTTTGGGGATTGGGAACATCACCTTAAGGAAAGAGGCAAACAACCAAAAGCTATGCCACTTGCTCTTGTGAAAGGCCAAGGGGGAGGGAACACGGTGGCAGAGAAGGAGCCTGGGTAGGGAAGAACAGAAGATGCTGATATGGGCAGGGGTGTGTGCAGAATCCTTTGGGGAAGGTGAAAATCTTATGAATTTTCTCAAGTTGGCCCTGCAGATTCTGTTCTGTTATATCAAACCTGTGTAGCCTGGTACTCACTTGACCTGACATGAGTCAAGCCAGCACACAGACCCTCTTTGTTTTTTTGTTTTAAATGAGGTATAATCTGATCATTTTTTACACCAAGAAAATGTGTGCAAAATTCAGACCACCAATCTGGTTCACAAGAGGAAGGGGAGGAAGCTTCCCTGTTACTTATGCTAAACACTACAAGAAGAACAGCTATGCTGGCCCTGATTTTCACAAATTGCTCTGGAGACATGCCATTCTCAGCTTCAGATTTGTACAAATTTATTTATTTGGAATTTTTGTATGCCATCCCATTCCCATAAACCTCGAGATGGCTTCCAACATCATAAATAAACAATCTTACAGATAAGTACATATAAAATATAAAATATAAAATCTGGATTCATCCTAGCTAAAAATTTAAAAACAATAAATAAATAGTATTAACAATTATTAAAATATCATTTAAATAAAAAGGTCTTGGCCTGGTGCGGAAAAACAAATAATGACTGTGCCAGGCGGACCTCTCTGGGGAGTGCATTCCATAAGTGGGGTGCCACTGCAGAGAAAGCCCTCCTCCGGGTACTCATCCTCCTAAGAGCTTTCACTGAGTGTTCCTGGAGGAGGGCCTCTGCTGCCAATTTCAAGGGGCGGGAGGGCAAATATGGAAGCAGGCATTCCTTTAAATATCCAGGTCCCAAGCCATTAAGGGCTTTGCAGGTGATAACCAGCACCTTGAATTGGGCTCGGACTTCGATGGGGAGGAAATGAATCTGGTAGAGGACTGGGGTTATATGAGAACAATGCCCAGTATCTGTCAGCAACCTGGCTGCCCTAGTTTGCACCATCTGAAGTATCTGGACTGTCTTCAAGGGCAGCCCCACATAGAGCGCGTTACAGTAGTTCAATTGAGAAGTAACCAATGCATGTGTCACTGTCTCCAGGCAGTCATTCTCCAGGTAGGGACGCAGCTGATGGATCAACCAAAGCTGAAGGAAAGTGCTTCTCACCACCACTGTCACTTGAGCTTCCAAAGACAGCTCTGGGTCAAGGAGTACTCCCAAGTTGCAGACCCTGTCCTTTAGAGGGAGTGCAACCCCATTCAGGACAAGGTCCAAGTCACCTACCCCGGAGCCCAAACCACCCACCAACAGGACCTCCATCTTGTCTGGATTGAGCTTCAGTTTATTGGCCCTCATCCAGCCCATTACCTGGGCCAGGCACCAGTTCAGTACAGCCACTGCCTCACCTGGATTGGTTGAAAAAGAGAGGTAGAGCTGGGTATCATCAGCGTACGGATGATTCCGCAGCCCACACCTCCTGATGACCTCTCCCAGTGGTTTCATGTAGGTGTTAAATAGCAAGGGGGGACAAAATGGATCCCTGCGGAACTCCATGGCATAGCTACCATTGCGCAGAGCCATAGTCCCCCAGCACCACCTTCTGGAATCGGCCATTGAGATAGGAGAGGAACCACTGCAAAGCAGTGCCTCCTACTCCCAATCCCGCTAGCCTATCCAGAAGGATACCATGGTTGATGGTATCGAAAGCCACTGAGAGGTCCAGGAGGACCAACAGAGATGCACTTCCCCTGTCTCTCTCCCTGCACAGGTCATCATACAGGCCAACCAAGGCAGATTCAGTACCATACCCGGGTCTGAAGCTGGACTGAAATGGGTCCAGATAATCAGTCTTATCCAAGAGTGCTTGGAGTTGTCCTGCCACCACCCATTCTAACACCTTGCCCAGAAACAGGATGTTGGCCATCGGTCTATAATTGGTAGCCATCTCTGGATCCAGGGAAGCCTTCTTTAGGACTGGCCAGACTACCACCTCCTTTAGAAAGGCAGGTGCCCAGCTGTCCCTCAGAGAGGCGTTGACAACCTCCAAGATCCAGGCCCCAGTTCCATGTTTGGCTTTGTTCAGTAGCCAGAATGGACAAAGGTCCAATAAACAGGTGGTAGGACATACTTGTCCAAGCACCTTGTCCACATCATCAGGCAGCAGTAACTGCAACTCATCCATCAGTTTTGGACCAGACGGTAACATTGGCACCTCCCCTGAGGGCTCTGAATCACTAGTGGAGTCCAGCTCGTGACGAATCTGAGTGATTTTCTCCTTAAAATGCTTGACAAAATCGTCATAGTGGGCTGTCGAGGGCGGTACAGGACCTTTCTTGGAGCCTGGATTTTCCAGCCCCTGTACCACCTGAAAGAGCTCCTCAGGACAGCATTGTGAGGAGGTAATTGAAGCAGAGAAGAATTTCTTCTTCCCCGCCCTCACCGCCACAGCATGGGCTTGATAGTGAGCTCGCAAGTGTGTTCGGTCAGATTCATCCCGTGATTTCCTCCACCTACGCTCTAGTCATCTCCCAACCTGCTTCATCGCCTGTAGTTCAGGTGTATACCAGGGGGATGAATGGGCTCTGCCAGGAGGGAGAGGACACTTAGGAGCGATTGTGTCAATAGCCCTGGTCATTTCTCCATTCCACAGTTCGACCAGAGCATCAACAGGAGCACCAGCCTTATCAACCGGA